GTTCCTAAGGTAGCAGTATATCAAGTTTACTTTAGACTCAGTGTGTAGTCGTATTGTGTCATGATTATGTGTGAGTCTAACAAGCGTGTTCTCCTTTTGTTTAAGGCTGCTCTAAGGTGTACTCTTAACCCCTGGCTTTAGCAACTCTACATCCTGCCAGTTCTCCTCCCCTCCTTGGTATGGTATCTTCTCAGGCAGTATTCTCAGTTGGAATCTCTTCATTCTCCTACCTTCTATTTTCATCTTCCCCTTGTTTGGCAAACTTTTCCACTTTAACTGCTTAGCCGAAGCATTGCCTTGTCTAAGAAGCTTCCGTGACCTCCTGTATCTTTAGGCTAGATAAAGTCCTCTTGCTCTGTATTACTTTAATATCTTTTATATATAGATGAGCATATTTAACTGTCATAGTGTCACAGTGTACTAATATTGGTTCTTATATTTATTATTATTGTCTCCTGCCACTATCATGTAAGTTTAGTAAGGGAAGAATTTCTGTATCTGTTGTTTTTTGTTGTACTAATATTTGTTTATGTTTTAGTCACTCTCATTAGAAGATGAGTACTCTGAGATAGAAAACCGTGTCGCAGGCATGTTTGTGTCCATAATGCCTACTGTCTGACCAAATGACTTGTTTTTTTTACTAGTATCAACTTTTCTAGATACTATAAACCTAAGCACACTGTATATATATTTTTTTAATAGAAGGGCTAATGTATTTGATCAGTAATCATAAGGTTAAAAGACAGAGTGTCTTCCCTCCTTCTTTTGTCATAGGCACAGCCAGCTGTTCCCAATCAGTGATGATTTACCATATTTTAAACAGCTGTAATGACATGTACATTTTTAACATGTGTTAGATTGTACATCTTCATTTTTTAAAGGGTTGCATAGAATTTTGAGTGTTAGGTGAATGTTAACCTTTTAAACCCATTCTGGGGACCCCTGGGTGGATCAGTCATTAAGCATCTGCCTTCGGCTCAGGTCAAGATCCCAGGGTCCTGGGATCGAGCCCAGCGTCGGGGTGTCGGGCTCCCTGCTCTGAGGGAAGCCTGCTTCTCCCTCTCCCACTCCCCCTGCTTGTGTTCCCTCTCTGGCTATCTCTCTGTCAAATAAATAAAATCTTTAGAAAAAAATAAAATAAACCCATTCTGTTCTGAAAGTATAAATTTAATGTTTTGTTATCAGACATTGCAGTAATTCATGCTGTGATTTTCATTTGTACTGCTAATGTTATGTTTATTCATTAAGACTTTAATTACCTCAAATATTTAATTAAAGTCATGTTTTCAAGTATATGGCGTAATGATCTAAAAAATTAACTGCTTTCAAGAGTAGTCAAAGTAAAAAAGAAATCCAGAGAGACTTATTTTGTGCCAGTCTCAGCATAATTACAATTTTCCAATGTGTTATTTTCATGTTTGAAGGACTTTTTTGTTTGAACCTAATAGTCTATTAAAAAAGGAAAGCTTTTAAGGTAAAAAGCTAATACCCTTGGTAGCAAGCTTCAAGAGCAATGTTTCAAAATGTTTAAGAGCAATTATTTGGAAGATTTTTTTCAGCTGAAATCTTGGCAAGAATGGAGAGAAAACATAAGATGCAATCTGTGTAATAGAGAATGAGGGGCCATTTTCCTGAAAAAAGTATATTTGAGATTTTTCACTTTGGCTCCTAAGGCATGAGAAAACATCAGTTCCATGATGTGCCTAGGAACTGCTGACCTAGTTGCAGTTGGTCTTCCTTGACTTCTAGAGTAGGTATGGTTGCCTGCCATCTCTCCCTGCAGCTGCCTGTGGTTTTCCATGACAACAGTCACCACACATACTTACCTAAAACCTGTTTTCTTGCTCTAAGGTGTAGGAGGGCTAGGGATTGTGGAATGTTTGTTTGCTGCTGTATAAAAGGTGTTTAATAAGTATTTATAGAATAAATGATGCAAATAAGCATAATGTGGGCATTTTGTTCCCTAATAGTAATTGTTTTGGTTCATCGTCATGTTTGAAGCATGGTAGATCTTGAAATACATTATACATTTTTCAAAGGGCAATTGAATTAGTTTTAATATTATTTTAATCTAATTGTGTATCTAGTAACTGGAGTTACCTAAAATATTATATAAATGCTACATTATCCATTTCTTTTGGATAGACATTTACTATACTTTGCTTAAGAAATTATTTTGTATTTAAGTCTTTTTTTTAAAGATTTTATTTATTTGAGAGAGAGTGAGAGAGCACAGCAGGGGGAGCAGCAGAGGGAGAGGGAGAAGCAGGCTCCCTGGGGACCCCAATGTGGGGCTCAATCCCAGGACCTTGGGATCATGACCTGAGCCGAAGACAGATGCTTAACTAACTGAGCCACCCAGGCGCCCCATAATCTGTATTTGTCTTATTTGATATTTGGTAGTTATGAATTCTTCAAACAAAATAATAAAGTTATACTCCAGAATATTGCACTGCTTCCTCAAGAAGTAAACTCATATTTTTCACAGTTGATAATCAGGTATAATTTCTACATGCATAGAGGTATCCAGAACTCACATACTACCTCAGCTCCTTAAATTCATAATCTGTCATGGTTCTCTTTGGCATTCCCACTGATCCCCCACTGGATGACTAGGGATGGGTTATGGGGATGCTGCTAATTGTGACTTACTTTATTCTTGCACTGATTCAACCTTAGATATACTTCCATTTATTCCCCATGGTGGGTATAGACAGTTGAAACTTTTAGAAGACTATGGCTCCTGGATAACAAAAGAAATTAATAGGGAGAGTAAATTAACTTCATTCACAAAAGCCGAAGTCCTCACCGAAAGTCCTCACCTACAAGGTCCTCCGTGATCTGGCCTCTGATGTGTTTCTGACTCCCTGTTCTTCTTCCCTGCTCCATTCTCACTGGGTTTTACCACATTGGCTTGCATGCTGATATTAGAACATTCCTGCATGCCCCCACGTTAGTGCCTTTGCCCCAGATATTCTCTTGACCCAGATATTTGCATGTCTAACTCCCTCCTTCAAGGCCTTGCTCTGATTTTACTTTCTCAATGAGGGCTGCCCATATCACCTACATAAAACTGCAACCCACCTACATAAAACTACATAAAAAATCCCCACTCCCGCCTCCCTTTACCCTGCTTTATTCTATATTTTTTTTTAAAGTGCTTTCTTTTTTTTTTTTAAAGATTTTATTTATTTATTTGAGACAGAGAGAATGAGAGACAGAGAACATGAGAGGGAGGAGGGACAGAGGGAGAAGCAGACTCCCTGCCGAGCAGGGAGCCCGATGCGGGACTCGATCCCGGGACTCCAGGATCATGACCTGAGCCGAAGGCAGTTGCTTAACCAACTGAGCCACCCAGGCGCCCTATTCTATATTTTTTAATAGTATGTAACCACCTTCCAACATAGTTATAATGTACTTAGTTCTTATATTTATTATTGTCTCCTGCCACTAACATGTAAGTTTAGTAAGGGAAGAATTTCTGTATCTGTTTTTGTTTGTTTTCTTGTTGTTGTAGTTATTTTAATAAACAGGTGTATCTCGGGACGCCTGGGTGGCTCAGTCAGTTAAGCATCTGCCTTTGGCTCAGGTCATGATCCTGGGGTCCTGGTATCGAGTCCCACATTGGGCTCCTTGCTCAGCGGGAAGCCTGCTTCTCCCTCTTCCACTCCCCCTGCTTGTGCTGTCTCTCTGACAAATAAATAAAAAATCTTAAAAAACAAACAGGTGTATCTCAAATACCTAGAACACTGGTGTCTAGTGTACAAAAGATGGTCAGTAACTATTTGTTTAATAGATGACCAATTTGGCTTTTGCAAGACCAGGTTTGTTCTTCCTCAGCATATGACCCATAATCTGACTGCCTTACACCTTCAACTCTGTCCTTTCTTTTTGTTATATGGATCCTTTGAATACATGTAGAATAAAACAAAAACAAACGGATCCAAGAGAGTCAGGGCTAGAGAGATGAAAGAACACCCCTTCTTAACATCTAAGTTCTGTTTTTTTTTAACCCTTTTTGGGATGATTGTTAGTGAAGAATGACTTGGCAGAAGCCCTGACTGTATCCCATGAGAATGTGGCCCTGTGGCTTTAACATGACAGCCGTGTTACGCTGTGGCTTTCTTGCTATATTCCCAAATCTATGGTGTTAATGGATGGTCTTCCCTGTTATATTGTGTGATGGCTCAACCTGAACCAGAAATGAGCTCTAGTGGTGGACTGTATTGCCAAGATAATAGGACCATTATAATAGGTTTGTTTCTTTTTACCTATCCCTGGTTTAAGAAGTCTCTAGGAGTTAAGTGATTTAGGTTCTGGTTCTGGCTTTGTAAGTGACTCATTGTCTTACAACTCTGGGCTTATGTTTCTTTGACTGTAAAATTGAACTAGATTTTTTTTTTCCTGATTCTGTCAAGTTTAGCTATATCATCAAAAACATTTTAAGCTTTATAATTGTAGGAACCCTATTTCAAAATATGTTAGCCCTTAAGTTAATAATCATGTTATTATACTGTGTTTAAGATTTATACTTGATAAGGTGCTGCGTATCTAAAAACAGGTGAGCACACCAGTAGTGCCTACAACCTAACAATAATTGTTTTCTTATGTATTTCACAAGAAAACAGATTTGTGATAATCCTTAGAATTCAATTAACTAGAAAATTGAGTCTTTAGCCATGATAAGTAACTCATGGTTAGAATCCTTCTTTCTTCTTTCTCTTTCTCTTATTCTTTCTCTACCTTTTGCACAATCTCTTCTACAATTTTTTTTTTCTTTTTTGCTTATAGAACAGAAGGATGACACTTTAAAGGTATTTCTCAAGAATTTTGCTTTTGGAATCTATTCTATTCATTTTTGAACTGCCTGGGGTCTAGCAGATTGTCTCAAACATAGTAGAAGCTCCTTAAATGTTGCTTGAATGAATGAATTTACTTTTATTTTTTCCCCAATATTGAATTAATTCAGAAAGTGATTTTTAAATTTTTATTATTTTAAGAAAGGTGACTCTTGTGATGGTGGGACTTGATAATGCTGGTAAAACGGCAACGGCAAAGGGAATCCAAGGAGGTAAGTGGAAAATATTTATTATTAAATTATTCTGAATTATTAATTTATGTAAATTGCTTTGTTACATATTTATTTGGTATAGATAGTATACACTCCATTACTTTAAATTCTTAGTATACTTGTGGCTAATGTGGTGAATAGACTCTAGCTTAAGAGTACCAGCCAGTTAACATGTTTCAGATTTGAGTAAGTGCAGAGATGCAGAGGATCCTTGAGGTCTTTGATCAGATAAAAGGGATCACATCTGTCTTCTCAGCACAGGAGGGAAAAAGCAAAAAAAGGACATGCCCTGCCTTGAATGATACCCATCTTCCACTTACATTCTCTTGGCCAGAATTTAGTCACAAGGCTACGCCTAAATGAAAGAGAGGTAGAAATGTAGTTAGTCAGCACAACTGTCTTTGTATGTCTTCATTTTTTTTTCAATATTTTTTTCCAACATGATTCAACTTGATTTTTATAGTTATGTTAAAATGAGGGCTTCTTTTTTATCAAAGGGTTTTATCATGTCATTTATATTGCATCTCATTGAATGTATTTATTTAGTTAGTCTTAATTTAATGCTATGTACTACAAAATAGAAGCAACTGTGCTGGTGAGTTTGTTGTATACCCAGAAGATGTGGCGAAGCATCTTATAGGTATGAATTGGGAAAAAACATATATTTGTTGCTGAGAAAGGATGTTGCAACAAGATATGCATATCAAATAGGGTGCTTTTATTTATGGAGGCTTAGAAAAGAAAATTAACACCTTGCAAAACTTGCTGTTTTGTCACCTCATATTCTACTATGTAACATTAGATGTAAATTATGTATGTTGTCTTTGGATTCTTATGAAGTCCTTTTGTACATACCCTTCATGCTATGTCCTAGGTTATAGGCTCACGGAGGACTCATCATCATCATCTAAACCAGAGGTGACAAACTTCTTTTGTACAGAGCCAGATATTAAATATTTTAAACTTTGAGGGTCATGCGGTCTCTTTCCCAACTATACAACCCTGACATAGTGCAAAAGCAGCCATAGACAGTATATAAACAAATGAGCATGGCCATGTTCCAATGAGATTTTGTTATGGACACTAAAATTCGATGTGTTATGATATATTGTCTTTTTGATTTTTTTTTTTTGTAATTATTTAAAAATATAAAACACAATCATAGCTGAGGGCCATATAAAAATAGGTAGTGAGCCAGATTTGGCCTGCAGACTGTGACTCCTCATCTAAACATCCCCTTCCATTTCTTCAGTCTTACATTCAGGGAAGCATAATCTAAGAATCAGACCATCTAATCTGTTGTGTGTACTTAGAACATCCTCTTTCCATTAGGATCTTTCTCTTCTGATTTTCACCTCCATATATCCATCAGTTTCTTTTTCTGAGTTTAGAAAATACTCAAGGTGTTACATCATGAACAGAAAGTTAAAGCTGTCTTCAACTTTAAGCTTCCCTCTGGTTCTGTTTTTGTTCTTCATCTTGTTTATTTATTCTTTAGTCTACTCTAGTGACTGATTTCTTACCTTTTTTCTTTTTTAAGGATTCCAGTTATATAGAACTAGATGAAGTTTTCCAATGGAGCTTTTTTATGCCTCTGTATTTGTTTATGCTATTCCCACTTGTCTTACGAGAGAGAATATCTGCTTATTTTTAAAGCAGAGTATCTATATATCTCTAAAGATGGATTTTTGTTATATAGTCTCATTCTTCATGAAGTCTTTTCCACCTCCTGCTACCCTTAGCCATTACCACCACCATCAGTAGACTTGACTACTTCCTCTGCTTTGGCCTATACTTACTTATACCTACTTGTATCACTTCTTAAATTACTCCTTCATTCATGTATCTCTTCCACCTTTCCAGACCATAAATTCCCAAAGAGTAGTTTTACTCATTTTGGTGTCCCAGTTCAGCCATGCCTTAGGTGTAATAGGCAACCTTCTTCCAACATTTCTGCCATGGCTTCCACTCTTCAGCTTATTTCTGGCTTGTCTCTGTTTTTCTTCCCTTCCCTTCTCCTTCTCCTTCTTTTGAGATATATGTGCTTCTTTTCTAACTGCAGGGTCTAAATCCACACCCTCAGTGTCTTTCATCTAGAATGTGATAGCTTCCTAATCAAAGTACTTTCCTTACCTTCACCTTTGCTTCTTTCAATCAACTTCTCTTCTTTATGGCTATCAAAGTGATTGCATTAGTTGGATATAGGTTCAGTTTTCCTAACAGAGACCTAAAATAACAGTGGCTTAACAAAATAAAATTTTATTTCTCATAATAGTGCACACTAAAGTAGTGTAGGCGTAGCATAACAGCCCCATGGTGGTAGAGATTCAAGTTCCTTCTCCTATTTTTTTTGCCATTTATAGTGTTCTCCCTTGCCTATCTAGTCCAAGGTGGCTCACTACTGTGCATTTCAGGTGGAAGGAAGAAGTAAAGGGGAAGGGAGGCCATTTTATTTTCTTTTAAGGGCATGAACTAGAAGCTGCTGTATCAGTTCAACTTAGTGACATTGACTAGAACAGGTGGTATTCTGGAGCTGGCTCCTACTTGCTCTCTTGGCTCATATCAGCTATCTAGAGCCAGTTAGGTACATCTCTTCCCAACGGTGTTTTCAGGTACCTCACACTAGTTTGAAATTAGCCATAGTGGGAGTAATTATACCATGGAAAATGGCAAACACTGCTTATCAAAGCACCCCCAAAGTGGTTAAACATTTAATGCCACAACACAAGCTCATTATCTGAATGTGCTCTAACAGCCATCCCTAGCTGCCACAGAGACTGGGGATTGTAGTCTTTATCCTAAATAGGTATGTGCTCAGCTAAAGAATCCAGGATTTTCTGACTATCCAGTGTGTTTCCTAATAGTTTCTAAGAAATGATTGTTATTTGGGTGGCAGAATTTTTCTTTGTGTAAATTGATCCCTAGCTTTGTTGGATATTAACATATCTTCACTATGTGATAGTTATTTGTTTATGTTTCCACTTTTCTCCTCTACGTAAGATTTCTGTAAGATCAGAAGATGGATCTTATTATTGTGTATCTAGGACATTGCACAGTGCTTAGCATACAATAGATTCTCAATAAATAGTTATTGATTATATATTTTCACTTTATCTTGGGCTTTCTGGAGATTGTCTTAACACATATACTTTACTGAAATCCTCAGGATTGGGGACCATTTGTCTTTGTACCCCTGGTTCTTGTATGATGCCTGATCTTTTTATAATAGGCCCTCAATAAATGGCTACTAGCATGAATGGATGGATAAATATATGGAAGATGGATGTAAGGACAGTAGCTTCAGCTGTCATGGCAGTCTGGTGTTATAATATTGAGCCACTATATACTTTGTGCAAAGTATTAAGGATACAAAGTAGATCCCAGATACTGGGAAGGGACAGGCTATTGTGAGGACCAGCAAGAAGACAGAATATTATGATAGAGCGTGTAGGTGATACTGGCAGTAGAAAGAAATCATCAGAAAGGATTTATAGGGAAGTTGTATCCAGAACATTTAGTCTTCAATCTTGAAACATGAGTAGGACCCAGAGGAAAGGCTAGAGAAGTCAGAGAGGAAAGGCGTTTAATGTCTTGACCTAGATTTGAATCCTTGCTCTGCCTACCATGTAACCTTGAACAAATTACCTAATCTGAATTGGTTTCCTGGGAATGTTGCCATCATTTTATCTGTGCTTACATCGCTCTCCTGTTTGGAATGTTCTTCTCCCTTCTTTATTATAATTATGTAGTTTTTAATCCTTCATTTTTCTTTCATGGCCTTTCTGAAGCCTTTGTATACCATAACTTCTGCCTCCCTTCTCTTTACTGTTTTCCTCTTGAATGTCCTTGGTCTTGGTTTGGGCTGTTGTACCAGTGTCTTAATTTAAACAAGTTCTGGAGGCTGGAAGTGTGAAGTCAGGGTGCCAGTATAGTTGGGTTCTTGATAGGGCCCTCTTCCTGATTTACAGACAACCATCTTCTTGCTGTGTCCTCATGTGGTGCAGAGAGACAGAAAACAAGCTCTCTGTGTCTTCTTATAAGTGTACTAACCCCTCATGACCTCACCCAAAGCTAATTACCTCCCAAAGGCTTCACCTCCAAACACCATCTCATTGGAGATTAGGTTTTCAACATACGAGTTTTGCAGGGGGAGGGGAGCACATGGACACAGGACGCAGGCATGCAATCCTCACGCTATCCTCTCCAGACTTTTTTCATAGAAATATCAGTTCTTATGTTATTTCCATTAATAGTATCTGTCTATAGTGAACTATAGGTTCTTTGAGGACAGCAACCCTATCTTATTCATCTTTATATCCTAATGCCTAATGAAGTCCTGTACTGAGTAGGTGTCTGTATGTGTTAGTTTCCTTATCCCTACTCCAGCATTGTTGATTTATTTTCACTGATAATTTCCTGGGAGTACCTCTCAAATCATGCTCAAAGATGGCTGCTTATTTTCACTAAGGAAACCAGTTTTGGTCTGGACTAGATCCATATTTTTAAATGTCTAGTATAATCCTGTTTTGGGAGTATCATTCTGCTTATATTGCTTCTAAACTTTTTTCTCCTAGGTAATGAAGGTCTTAGAAAAATAGGACTTGTAATGTCTCTTTGAACTCTCTAGGGAGCTGTTTAAACTGCACTAAAGTACTTGCTGCCAGGGAGTAGTACCTTGCAAGTCTGTTTCCCAGTCACCCCTAAGCCTAGCGGCAAATGCCTTTCAAACTTACCTCTGTAGTAGCACATGTTTTGCTGAATGTGGAAATGATAAGACCATCTACACCAGTGTTACTCAGTAGAGCTTTCTGCAATGATATAAATGTTCTGTATGGGCTAGTAGTAGGATGGGCCACTAGCCAATATGGCTTTGAGCACTTTAAATGTAGATAGTACAGCTGAAGAACTGAAATTTAATTTAATTTTAACTGATTTTAATTTAAAAAGCCTCATGTAGTTTGGGGCCATTGTATTGCCCATGCAGGTGTAAACAAAGTCCATTGGAGTACTGTTTGTTGTGGATTCTGGTGATGAAGAGAGAATGAGACAAACGTGAAGTTCTAACTCTTCTTCATTGCCATCGAGTCACTAGGTTCTGTTAGTCTTTCATGAGTTCTCTCTTTCCATTCTTTCTTCTTTATTTTCATATCTGTCTGAAAAGCAGCCATCACTCTCATTTCTAGCCAGTTCTAGAGACTTTGCAAAGATGTGTCTTAATAAAGCACTACTTTAGTCACCTTAATTATATTACTGGTCTACTGAAATACCTTCCATGGCTCCCAGTTCTCTCTCCAGAACTCTCTTCAGTCTGCATTCACAATCTTAAGGGTTTGCTCCAACTATGACATTCAACTTGTTTGTACTTTCTTGCCTTTGCTATTTCTTCTGTTATTTAGATCACTCTTACCTAGCTTTTAGGCCTAAAGTCTCAACTCCCAATTCAAGTCTTTCTTGAACCTTAGTTATCTTTTTAATCTTATTGTTATTACCATTCCTTGGCAGTTATGTACACCCTGTACCTTCTTTGTGTTGTCATATCCTTAAGTACAGAAAATTTCAATTTTAAATTTATGAGAACATCCAGAACATGTTCCTGTAGAAATAATGAAATCTACTCTATATTTGCAAGCTGACTTGAGAAGTTTCTTTATTCCAATTATAGCTTTAATTCAGTAATTAAAAAAGCACAGTCTACTCCTCATAGCTTCTCCCATTTTTTGGTTCTTCTCAACTATTCTCTAAATACTCAGTTTTTCTTTATAACTTCACAGAGGTTGTAATGGTCCTTGGGGATGGCTGTGGTGTTGAAGGGTTAAAATTTTTATTATTTGTAACTTGGAGAGTCAATAGCCTTGAAGGCAAGAGTTCATTCATTTATTCATTCTACAGATATTTATTAAGTACCTGTTATGGGGTAGACATTATTCTAGGAGCTGGGGTTATGTCAATATAAAACAAATAAACAAAAAACAGAAATTTTTATCTGCATGGACCATAAATTCTAGTTGGATATTTTATAATATCTACCCTTCCCCCAAACCAGTATACTTAGATATAAAGCTTAGTGTGTAAGCAAGTAATAAACATTCCATTTAGTACTAAATTATGATGAAAAACACTTTATGTCATTTAAGTTGTGAAGTTAGATTAATGTTATTAATTTAAAGCCTAACTTTTTTTTTTTTTTTTGTATCATTTGAAACAGAGTATCCTGAAGATGTAGCTCCTACTGTTGGCTTTTCCAAAATTGACCTTAGACAAGGAAAGTTTGAAGTCACCATCTTTGACTTGGGAGGTGGAAAAAGAATTCGGGGAATCTGGAAGAACTACTATGCTGAGTCCTATGGGGTAATATTTGTTGTGGATTCCAGTGATGAAGAGAGAATGGAAGAGACAAAAGAGACAATGTCGGAAGTGCTAAGACATCCTAGGATATCAGGAAAGCCTATACTGGTGTAAGTAACGTTGGTGTCATGGTGAACACAGAAGCAGTGGCATTAGCCAATAAAGAAATTTACCTAAGTTACAAAATAAGCTAAATAAGCGAATATGCTAAGATTGTCACATCCTAGTATAATAAAACGTGATTAACTGGGGATTGTTAATATAGTGAGGCCTTGTTATGTTCTCCATAGGGATTAAGGATTGAGGCTGTATTATGAAGAAGAGTTATACTCAGATCTTCTGGGTATTCAAATACAAACTCTTTGTTTTATTTGATAATTTACTTTTTATAAGATTCTACATTTTGAAATGGCCTATTAACAAGATTCTAGAATGTTTGTCAGTTTTTTCCCTTTTTTAATAACTTACGTTTTGCATTTGTCTTGTTTTTCTTGAAGAGTATTCTTATTTGGAAGTTATTTAAAAGGTTTATTCTAATGCCACAGTGATTTCTAAATTTTTATTTCTGTATTTCCAAATTGAATGTGTGATCTGTGTTGTTATCAACTTAGTCATGTGTTCACATCATTTTGTTAGGCTGCCTAAACATTTTTTAAAAAGTGACAAAGGACTTTTACACCACCTGCCCTCACAGCCTTTCTGCATGTAAACACCAGATGGTGCTATAACTATAAGACATAGAAAAGTGAAAGTCCTTTAAATTGCTCTTAAAATCATAGTGAGCTAAATGTGTGCTCTTGCCTTCTTGTCCCTTTTTCCTCATGCTTGTTTCATTACTGAGGATTAAAAAAAAAAACCAACCAGCTTATCATGTGGTTAAATGAGAAATTGTAAGCAGAGTTTCTCAGTGGTCCTCAGTAGTAAATGAACATTTCTAAATGAGGCAGTTTGGAAGCTCTGATTACAGAACGTAAGACTTTATGGCATCATTTATTAGTACGGGTTATATGGCTTGATTTTTTATTTATTTAACCAATTAGTGAAGTTATTTTATTTGTATAATCAATTCTCATCTTTATTGAATCTGAAGGAAAGTTTAATAGACATATGTACAAAGAATGAACTATGTTGAACCCCATAGGCTGAGATAGTTTCTAAACATTTAAGCAAAGAACCAGTGACTTCTAAAGTAAAAAGTGTCAATGACTGAGATGACTGATGCTCATGTGTAAAATAATTGTGTGTTCATTTTTTAACCTAATAGTCATTTATTTAATTTATTCTTTCATTCATTCATTCATGTGTTAATTCAGCAAATATTTATTGTGCATCCACTATGTCCTAGGCATTGTTCTGGATGGGGATACATTTGGAAACAAAAACAATATAAATCCATATATGACCTCAGAAGCGTACATTCTAGGGGGTGACATACACAACTGTAATAATTAAGTTATATTGTACATTAAGTGATAAGTATATTGAAAAATACAGGTAAAATATCTGGGGTCCTATGGTGGTGGTATAACAGGGGTATGTTACTCTTATAATTAGGATAATCATAGTAGGTTTTATTGAGGAGATGACACTTGAGGGGAGAGAGGCAGTCATGCAGATGTATGTGGAAAAATCACGAGGCAGGAGCGTGCAGTTCCTAAGTGACTACAGTTAGCACTGATTAATGAAATACGGTCAGCAAGAGACCTGCTGTCCGTTCTCTCACCTCTCTCACCTAGTAGATTTTTGGAATAGAGGGGGAACAAAACTCTGGAAAAGCACCAACTAGGGGGTTGCTTCACCATTATAATTTCGTAGTCACTGAGATCTCACAAAGACATGAGAATTAATAATGGATACTATAATTTGCTTGTGAAGTATAGGATGGCTTGCCATTTGACCAGTTTTTCCCAAGGAATTTTACAACCAAAGGATTTTTTTTAATAAAGGTAAACTGCTTTTTGAAATGAGTGTGCTTCAAAAATACACAAAATATACATATTCTTAATAAATTTAGTACATGTAGGGAAGAGCGAGTTAAAAAATGTTGATCGACCACGCAATGCCAATCACTGCTAACATTTTGATGAATTTCCTATGCATCTTTTTGCAAAATTTGTAATGTATACAGTTGTGTATAATACATAAAATTTTGTATGCCATCTTTTCTTATTTAAAAAATATACATAATTTATTTATTTGTTTTTAAGTAAACTCTCATGACCCTGAGATCAAGAGTCATATGCTCTTCTGACTGAGCCAGCCAGGGGCCCCTGTACCCCCACTTCTTTTTTATATGTTTCTAAATCCCTCTTAAATACCTATACAAAACCCGTATTTGGAAATTCTCCTGTTTACCTTTTTCTCTCTGACTGACCAGTAATTTCTCTTATTGATGTTACTGTCTTAATATCCTTTGAATCTCTACTTCTCTGTAATCCCCTCTGTAATCCCTCTGCACTTCTCACTTGTGTTTCTGAGAGCAACAGTCTCCTAAGCAGTCTCCCTATAGTCTTGTCCATCCTCCAAGCTCCCTCTACATTGCTAGCAGGAGTCTTTTTCTTAATTTGATGTTTTTCCAAATTACAAAATTTGATGTTTTACCAAAAAACTTGATGTTTTACAAAAACGGTACATGCTTTCACAAGTGAAACAATGCTAGTATATATAAAGAATATGAGAGCTCTTTAAAATACACTTTTGATCATTTTACAGTTCATCTGCTTAGTCATTCAGGTTGCCTTCACTGCTCCATGCAGATAAATTCTGTTTGACTGATACAACCCTAGTCCGTAATAGGTATGGCATTGAATACTCCACTAGGTAATAAGTGGGAGGGCCTCTGGCAGAACCCTGCTAAGCTCAGTGCTAGGACCTGGTGGGTTGTGGAGACAGAGGGGGAGGGTATGTGAATTAGGCAGGCTACAGTGCTCCTTGTTGCACTCAGCTGCTTCCTTCCAGCCCACAAATATCTGGACCTATCATGGGCAGAATTCAATGACAGCATCTAATTCCTTCTGTTCATCTGTGTCTGAGCCTAAATTAGCTGATTTAGGACCCAAAGAACCTCTCAGAACTCACTGCGATACCTAGATAACTTCCTCTTCCCAGCCTCTAATGATGAAAAACAGCGAACAATATAAAACTTCTGAGAAGATTCAGCCATTCAACAGAAATAAACCTGAAAAATTAGAATATTGTCTATAATCACAGAATTACAGATTGGTGGAGCTGGGATTCATTCATGCTATGGGAAGCAAAGTTAGGTGACCACAGTAGCAGGTCCTGGGGCAGTCTCTGGCTCTGCCTGACTTGCTCTTACACACCAGCCTGACGGCATGTGTCATTGCAAATGAAGCCTCAGCCAAATTTCACTTCATGTCAGACTTGAGGGCTCTCTTGAAAGGTCAGAATCACAGAACATTACTAGTCTTCTGTGTTTTATTAGCTCAGAAAGTCTGTTTTACCATTCTATATAGCATTTACTACTTAATGAGCATTACTACTTAAATATTTTGATTAAAATCTCTAAAATAGTGGTGAAAAGTTGAAAAACCATGGGTTTAAAGAGAAGATGGAGAGTCTGGAACCTGGATTCTAAGAGCTGATGTGAATTTGTTTATGACCCTGACAAGTCACTCTACTTCTTTGGACTTAGTGGTTAAATGCCTCTTCTATATTAAAAGTAGCTGTAAAATATTGTAATTCTGTTTTTGTATTCAGCTATATATAATCATGCGAACCATACTATAGGGTATTGTAAGAACCCATTTCAGTAAAAAAGTAAAAGTGATTAAAGAGAGTTAAAATAGATGCTATTCAAAGTTCCTGCTCTGTAATCATGTTAACCTGTTTATTTACCTAGAAAGTGTTCCTTTTACTCTCTTAGCTACAATAGAGATTAACCTATACTCTGATTAAGGTATGAATTATATTATCTGCCCTTATGTAACCCCTCCATACTCTTGCTTTAACAATTTATAACCTAATTTTTAAAAAACTAAAATTAGATACTCTGGACAGATACTTTTCCAATAGAAAAAGTAAACAACTTTTGCAGTTGTATCAATAGCACCGGAATCAACATAATCCCCAATTTCTTTTTTAGTTGAAATATAGTTAACATATAATATTAGTTTCAGGTGTACAACATAGTGATTGAACAATTATATATACATTACAAAATGCTCACCATGGTAGGTGTAGTTACCATCTGTCACTGTATAGTTACTACAATATTATTGACTCCATTACTATGCTGTACTTTTCTTTCCCATGACTTATTTTATAGCTGGAATTTTAACCTCTTAATCCCCTGTACCTCTTTCACAATCCTCCCACCCCCTTTCCAGCAGTAAGCCCAAATTTCAAGCTCAACACCCACTATTTTTCATAAATAATATAAGGCACTATTTGTTGATTACTTCTGGAAAAGATTGAGCTGAAGCTTTCCTTTTTTATGGTTGAATCTCCTAATACTTAAAACTGGGATAACTTTGGAGCTCCAAGGCTAAAATTTCCTCCCAGGATAATAACAATTCTCCTTGTGTTAGCACATTTGTACTCTTGGAATGATGCCACTTTCTCATGACATACTGTCTGTTTTTCTGTGGAGTTATATGACCTAACTTTGGGCCAAACATTGCGAATTAGATGATTTGCAACAAAAGTAATATAGAGGAGTTTCATTCAGGGAAGAAAACATAATATCTCTGATATGATCTTACTAGGTGTTATGAACATTTCAATAAAAAAGAATTTTTTGACCCAGAGGTCTTTGCACCTATGATGGCCTCCCAGGACCCTCTGAAATCACAGACACAATCCTGAGTGCATGTGCATTTTTCCTTGGGAGCAGATCCTAACTCTCATCAAATTCCTAAAGGGTTTCATGACCAAAAAGGTTAAAAACCATGGCAGTGAGTTTCCATATTAGGAGAAACAATAACCAGGGTTTTATTATTACTTTTCCAATCGATTTTTGTCTCCAACCTTTATATGCCTACTTGAGTCACCTTTTTTCTAGACAGTATTATAAGAAAACGTTAGTTTGCAAATTTCTTTGAGTCATATTCTTTACTGTAAGTGCTTAGAAGTTAACTAAGTTTACGAA